CCCCCCCCCCCCCCAAAATAATTCACTGAAAATGTTATAGAGAGCTCCAGGTTTCAGTGCTGTTTGGGGTTTTTTGATGCTTTAAATTTTGATGCATTCCCAGCTGGAATGTTTGGGTTTTTTTGCCTATAATTTTATAAGATATTCTAAAAACACTCCCAGCACATTCTTTAAACTTCCTTTAGACATTTCTAGAATTAAGTTTGCTTCAGGTAAACAAGACCATTTGCCTTATTTTACTTTTCACAAATGGGTCATTCAGATATTTTTTTAAATAATTCTTTTAAATCTTGGCATGCAGAGGAAATGGAATTGCTGCCTACATCTCAGAAAACATTTAGGCCACTTTCTCAAATCTGTTTTGCAAAAATCATAACCAAAAGTTTATTGAGCGTTAACATCATAATGTTAAGAGAAAGGAGAAATCTGGAAAGCAGAGATGAAACAGCAAGTTAGGCAGTATTTTTTCCACTTTCAGGAATCACAAGAGGCCAATTATAGTAACTCCTCAAACAAAACTTGAATGAAAAACCCCAAACCTCATAACTTCTCTACTCTCACTAAGCAAATATCAAGACAAGATAGCCAGACCAGCATGAGCTACAGTACTAGCATACACTATCTCAAATTCTCACATGTGCATAAATTTTCTGAACCTGAACTTGCATGGGCCTGCAGTGAGCATTTATGTTGAAGATTATGTAAGTCAGAAGATCTCATCAGTTGAGTGAAGCTCTAGCAATTAATATTTAGGAATTATTTTGCCAAGAATGCTTAGGGAATTTCCACAAGTAGACCTTAAAAAAACAGAAAAGAAGGCATTATCCATTACAAATTAAGATGGGAGGCTGCTGTTCTTCTCAAAATTAAAGCAACTGAAACTAGTATTTCTTGAAAGATACACCAGTTCTGCAAAAGAAATGACAAAAGTGCAGCTTAGTTTTCAAGCCTACTAAACCAGAAGTTGGTCCTCAACTGACATGTGGGAGTTCAAATCCTTCCTCTCTCTCTTCTGGAGCAGGAACTTCCAACTCTTCCTTCCCTCACAGAAAATTCCTTAAATGCTGGGTGCACAAGATGAAGGAGAGGAATCTTTTAAAATCTCCTATTGAAGTTATTGCCATTTCATAAAATACTTAATATATTCATAAAACAATAAGCAGTTTGAAAATATTCCCACAGTCCATTGGTCCACATGTTTTACACAAGTGACCAAAATGACAATCCCTTTCTGCATACTTCAGATCATGTATGATGTCCTCAACACAGGAGGCAGAAGCAATTAAAAGCACAATGGTTAACA